AGAGGAAACCTGGGCCGTGCCGGGAGGGAGCGGGGCCGGGGAGGCGGGGTTTGGGACGCTCCGGCGATGCCCCGGCGGCCAGAAGACCCAGCGGGGGCGGCCGGCAGGTCCGTGGGGCTGGGGCCGGCTCCCCCTGCCCTGTCCGGGGGGAACGGGGGGCTGGGTTTCTCCCGGATCCGCCCTTCAGCCCGGGGGGCCATTCGGCTTGTGCGGGAGCGGCTCCCCCGTGGGGTTGGGGCGAGGCAGCAGCGGGGGGTCCCCGGGGGTTCCCCGGGGGTCCAGGTGCCCCGCGCAGGAGGCGGTTCGGTGCTGGGGCTTCCACCTGCTGCCCGGTGGGCTGGGACATCTGGTAGTGCCCCTCGGGCGGTGACGGGTGGATGCTCAGGGCGGCAGAGGAGACTCGCTGCTCTTCTTTCTCCCTCCTGTTGGGGTGGCCGGGGCACGACCAGCCCGTCCCACCAGGCGTGTCCCCCGTCGGGCAGGGCGCTGCCGCACAGGCATCGGCAGATCGAGGATGCAAACCACGGCTGTCCCCGGGACTGCTCGTCTAGTGGGGGGTACCTGCAGAGGAGTAGTTGGTACCCACAGGTGATGCTGTGCCTGGTGTCACCCACTGCCACTTCAGGCAAGGTGACATGGAAGCAGGGTCTCTGGTGCAGACGAGGCCTGGCTGGTTTCACGCTCATGCGCTGTGGTTTGCTCTGGGCAGGGTTGTTTGGCACAGCACTTCAAAGCAGCCCTGCCTGTCCCTGGGGAGCCCTGGGGAAGGATGCTCCAGGTCTGGGTGGTGACGGCAGAGACGCTGCCAGACGAGCTCGGGCGCTTCCTGCGTGGCTGCGCGGCACTGAGCTCTCACCGGTTCCTTCCACACGGTGCTGCTGCTGGTGGGACACGGACGGGGCTGCTGGTGAGCTGGGGCTGCTGCTCTGGCAGTGCAGGATGGTGTGAGTGCAGAGGGAGAGGGACGGTGCAGGAGGAGGAGAGGTTGGGTGGGAAGGCGTTTGCCAACCAGACAGCACGGAGGGCATCCAGCTGCTTGTGAATCCATCTGGGGAAGAAGCCTCTGTGCAGGTCTCAGGGCAGGTAACCCTGTGCAGGTGAGAGCTTTGGCTGTGAGAGCAGTGTGAGCAGGTTGTCACCCCCATGGGGTAGGGTCTGTCCTGGGCCTCGCAGGGAGGGCAGGGCCGGAACAGGGCTCCTCTCTCTGCTCCGAGTTACTACGTGTTGTGGCTTCGTGGCATGTGGTGTGTCCGTGGGGTCGGGCTGCCTGTGAGATGTGTCCCACTGCCTCTGAAGGGTAATGGGTCGTCAGCTTCAATCCTGGTAGGGACCTGTTTGCAGAGAGGGGTGAGTAATGGCCCAGGAATTTCGACAAGCTGGCAAAAACTCATTTGGCCAATTGCCTTCTCCTGCTGGTGCTGCAGGTCTGGCCAAACCGGCATTTTGCACCCAGCAGATCATCTCATGTGCCTGTCAAAGCCCTTCCTCTCTCTCTGCCATGTGTACCCTCTTGCTGTGTTTGATATCATGAAGCAGAAGAAAATTGACCAAGAGACTATTTAGAAACACCATAAGTACTGCAGAGAGCTCTGCTTGACTGCAGGGAGTTGAGACAGGAGCTGTTGTTGCTGGGGACTTGGCTGTGTCTTGCTGGGAGCTTGAGGGAGCCTGGCTCTGACACAGGAGATGTGCTCTGTTCTTTCTGGTGAGCATGTGTTGGATGCTTAGGTGCTGGTTTGATTCTTCCCAGGCTTTTGTGTGAAACCAGCTCAACTGGTGTTTTGAAGGCACAAGCGAACAGCTGCATGGGCCGCTCCTGTGTGTGTTATTCTGTGATACAGCCACAGGAAAGTCTTCTAAGCAGAGATGGGTATAGTTTGGGGCTGCCTTGGTGTTCTGAAGATTAAGTCTTGTTGTAGGCTGGTGGGAAGCAAGGCTTAAAAAGATGTGGGTGTGAGGCTTTGCTCAGCTCTAGGGCTGGAGCTGGGGGCCCTAATAACAGAGGAGTTTCCTTGGGGTGGGAAGCTGTCAGGGTAACAGTCTGTGCTGCACTAGATGGGATTTGCCAAATGGTGAGGTGAAGATCTGTCTCTCTGTCCAACTAAGCTCTGTGTGCTCTTTCTCCAGGGCCTGTCACTAGCCTATCCATTGCCCTGACTTTTGCCCTTGGAGGAAGCCAGTCATGGGGGAAACGGGCAAAGAAGAGTATAAAATACAGTCGTTCGACAGCGAGACTCAGAAGCTGCTGAAAACAGCCCTCAAAGGTTAGAGGTTAGCTCCTCTGCCCTGGGCAGCTAAGTGTAGAAAAGCTGTTTCATAAATGCTGTTTGTGTGCCTGTGTGCCATTCAGTGAATCTTCTCCAGGAAGGTCTTTGCTCCCTATATCTTCTTGTCCCATCTCCCCAGTCTTTTATGGTGCAGCTGCTCCAGCTCAGTTCCTGGTTCTCATCCTTGTGGTTTTCCCTGGTTTTGGGGTATCTTCCTCTCCTGCTCTAATGCAGCATCTCTCCCCAGACTTGGCTTCTCCCCCCTCTCTCGGTGCTTAGTTCCTGCTCTCTGTTCCTGCTCTCTGCCCCTCCCTGCTGCTGGGCCATCTTGTCCTCCTGGCCCCCAAGGTCTCCTTCTCACCTTCATGTTTCTATTTGAAGCACAGCAGGAGCTGACATATTTAGTTCCTGCTAACCCATCTTTGAAGCAGAGCTGGCATTTCAGATTGAGATCAGCTTCTTGCTTCCCCATATTACTTGCTTTCCTCCATAATTTTCCCATTGTGATGGCTGTGTCTCCAGCCTGGGAGGACCATGCAACAGTAGCATCTCCAAAGGTGTGCAAGAGGTGCTGGAACTCTTGCTGTGGGAGTGGTATGAGGTTTCACACCGTATGGTATAGTTGTACCAGGCCCTGTGCTGACCTTGCTTGCTTTCCAGGTACCCCAAAGCAAGCAGGGCCCAAAGGGTGCTATGTCCTGACAGTGTTTCTCCTCTCTACAGACCCCACCAATGTGGACCTGGAGAAAGTGGCCAATATTATCGTGGACCAGTCCCTCAAAGACTGCGTGTTCAGCAAGGAGGCAGGACGGATCTGCTACACCATCATCCAGGTGAGAACTCATGCCTGGACAGCAAAACACTTCAGCTTTGTGGGTTGTCCCTAGGCTGGGCCAGGAGGAGCTTCACCCCAGCCCTGTGCCCTGACCTTCCTCTTCTGTCACTTGCTCCATGCAGTGGCAGCATTCAGAGGAGCAGCTGGTGAGCACAGGCAGTTAGCTGCAGCTTTCCTGCCTCTCTGGGCAACCACAGGAGGGTATCTGCATGGTCCTGCTTCTCCCCACTCCTCACACCCTATTTCATCCCTCCATCCTGATTTTCTGGGCTCTTAGGCAGAGAGCAAACAAGTCGGCCAGAGCGTCTTCCGGAGGAGCCTGCTGAGCCGGCTGCAGCAGGAGTACAAGGACAGGGAGGAGCTGCGCGCCCGCTCGCTCCAGGCCTGGATCTGCTACGTAACCTTCATCTGCAACATCTTCGACTACCTGAGGGTGAGGAGACAGAGCAGGACCACTTGGGTGCTGCTGCTGAGGAGGGCCAGAGGGCCTGGGTGTCCAGAGGCACCAGGAGGGTTGGATGGGTGTTGAACAGAGCCCCAGGGCTGTGGCTGGAACTGGTTCTTGGCATGAGGACGCTCCTGGGGTTGGTGCTACCAATAGGCAGGTGAACAGGCTTGGAGAGGCAGAGCCATCTCTGGGAGCAGTCAAAAAGTCTGAGCTTCTTCATTTTGTACTTGGTGTTTGAAATCCCGTGATTTGCCTGCTCCCAAAACTCCCAGATTTGAAGGAGTTCAGTTACTGTGAGGTCCCAGGGGGAATTTCGAGCCCACATACTGATGGAGTTTGTCTCAAGCCTTTGCTGTAATATGGGTACTTGATGCCTGCTTGGAGTAAATGTAAACATTATGCAAGGGGAGCTGCAGGCAGGAAAAATGCTGTTGTAACAAGTTTATTTCCCATGACTACCTGCTTACATTTAAAAATAGATGTTTTTTACATAATTTGTTCAGCTTCTGTGGTTCTTGGAGGCTCAAATGTCTGGTCTCCTACGTAAATCCCACCCATATGGCACTTGGCAGCAGAAGTAAATTCTGCTTCCTTCTTTGAAGAGCAGCAAGGGAGCAAGTTATCTTAAATAGATGCAGACTCCTCCCTTTCTGGTCCCGTCTGATGATGGCTCCTCCCTCCTTACAGGTGAACAACATGCCCATGATGGCCCTGGTGAACCCTGTTTACGACTGTCTGTTCCGGCTGGCACAGCCTGACAGCCTGCGGAAGGAGGAAGAGGTGAGGGCAGGGAGGAGTTCCCTCATGTACCTGTTGTCCTGCCAGGGACCAGCAGGAGCACAGCCCTGGGGGGATGTGGTCTCCACATCCTGGAGCAGAGGAGGGAGAGCTGCCTCCTTGGTGTGTGCTGGAGGGAGACCTGCTGGGCAGGAGGGTTTAGAGCCCAGAAGGAAGTGGGATGGAGGGGCTGGTTGTGACTCCCTTGCCCAGGTTGCATGTCCTCCCTTGGGGCAGCTTTTCTCCCTCTTGCCCAGGTGTTGCCACTGGACACCCAGTAGCCCAGATGTCCCTCGAAGCAGGAGCTGTCTGGTGTTCTGCAGGTTCACCTGCCATCATGTGAGAAAAACAGATAGCTCTT